AGTTGACTACGGCTTTGAAGCAGTATGGTTTTTGTCAATCTTATCATGATTACTCTCTTTTTACACTGCATCGTGGTTCTGTCCATCTGCAGGTTCTGATCTATGTTGATGATCTGATTGTTTCCGGGAATGACACTACATCCATTGCGGCCTTCAAGAGTTACTTGAGTCGTTGTTTTCATATGAAGGATCTTGGATTGCTTAAGTATTTTCTGGGTATCGAGGTTGCCCGGAATTCTTCTGGATTCTTTCTCTGTCAGCGGAAGTATGCTCTTGACATCATAGCTGAGGTCGGATTACTAGGGAGCAAGCCAGCTGATTTTCCATTAGAGCAGAATCATCAGCTACCTCTTGCTGAGGGTGATCTATTGTCTGATCCTGAGCGATATCGTCGTTTAGTCGGACGTCTTATCTATCTGGCAGTGACTCGACCTGAGCTGTCTTATTCGGTGAATATGCTCTCTCAATTTATGCATCAACCGCGTCAGGCTCACTGGGACTCTGCTCTGCGTGTGGTTCGATATTTGAAAAGCTCTCCTGGTCAGGGAATTCATCTTCGTACTGACTGCGATCTTCAACTCTATGCATGGTGTGATTCAGATTGGGCGTCTTGCCCTCTCACTCGGCGCTCTCTTTCTGGTTGGTTTATTCAGTTGGGTCAGTCTCCTGTTTCTTGGCGAACCAAGAAACAACCTACTGTCTCACGCTCTTCTGCTGAGGCTGGATATCGGGCGATGGCTACTACATTGTGCGAGTTGAAGTGGTTGCGGGGACTATTATCTACTCTTGGTGTCGCTCACTCTCAGCCTATGCAGTTACACTGTGACAGTCAGTCTGCAGTGCATATTGCGGCGAATCCAGTTTTTCACGAGCGGACTAAGCACATTGAGGTAGATTGCCACTTTGTTCGAGATGCTGTTCTTCAGGGCCTCATTTCTACTACTCATGTTCCTTCTGGGGAACAGCTCGCTGACATCTTCACCAAGGCGCTTGGGAAGCGCGAATTTGATTTCTTTCTTGGCAAGTTGGGCATTCGGAATCCGCATGCTCCAACTTGAGGGGGGGTGTTATTGTGTATATTTGTGTAATTACTATATTAGCCTTAGGTTCTCTTTAGATAACTGTAGCCCTAATTTTGTGTATATATATTCATGGTTAATAGAATATTGAATCATCCAATTGAGATGATCTTTTCCACAATTTCTATCGTCTCTTTCGTATCAGTAAGAAACTAGTTAGATTCTCTGTTGTCCTCACACTTAAAAAAATTCCAACCTTTCTTGAAAAGTTTCATCCACTATTTCATTAGTTGTTAACCATATTAAAAAATAATAAATAAAATCCGCAAATTACGCACCTTCCACAACCACCATAATAAGTATAATAAATACATCGTCAGTTGTTGCATTTATGAGTAGATTTTGATGTTTTTCATTCATAGATCTTGAGCCACTATAATATTTTTATATGCTTAATCTATTAGCACGTTTATATTTTTTGAGTTAATTATTATTTGGATAGATCTTTGTACTATTATGTTTTTATATTAAGTTGTAGCGTATTGAAGTATCTTTTTTTTTTTTTTTTTTTTTTTTTTTTTTTTTTTTTTTTTTTTTGTGAATGTCAAAATATTGAACAAAAGCTTGAATACGCAATTATTGGGGTGCTAAATGCCAATCCATTATGTCGACCCAAACCCATTAGCTTGATGTGGGCTAAGGGATGACAAAAGTGGCACAAAGTTACTACAATGGCATTTAACATGCAAAAGAGCAAGAGAAAAAGTTGGGCTTGGTTTCTTTTTATTCGGAAATATTACGGTCCCGTTATGAAACCATTCCGTCGAGATTTGTAACCGTTAGATCATCATGTAACCGTCAGAGATAGTTGATCTAACGGTTACAAATCCCGACGGAATGGTCCCGTAACGGGACCGTAGCATCTCCCCTTTTTATTATTCTAGCCGAGGGATTAAAAAAATGGGAAACAGTAGAAGTTCGAATGGAATATTTGAGGCTTGGTCGGTGATAGAAGGATGGACATTTTTGTTCGAGAATGATTTCTATATACATTATGTAACACCCCGCCTAATTATTTCTAGAATTTATAAAATCAGAGTAAAATTTTTGTTTTTATTTTCGAAAAATTCTTAAACTTTATTTTCGAAAATACTCATACTAACTTGCGGGATGCTACTAACTTAAACTCTTTCTCATGCAGACGTAAATAAATACATGCAACCTAATCAAATCCGTTATATAAAGGTACCACGGAGATAAAGGCATTATACATGCATAAGTCTGATAATCTCATAATACATACTAAGTCTGAAATGTGCGGAAGTTGAAACATAATATGTCTACGCATAGTAATGATAGTACATGTTCAATAAATGACATGCAGATGCGTTACAAAAAGACTGCTAATGACCACAACCACCACTGAAATCTCACGCGCCACGCGTCGCTCCGTCACCTAAAAAACGTAATGGGGGCGTGAGCAAAACCACTATGCTCCGCAAAGACCAGTACTTAATTATATAGCATCGTTAATAACAATCATGACTTTAAGTATATAAGAACTGATCTGAACTGAAACTGTAACTAGGGCATCTGGTGGTCATAAAGACCCTGGGGCTTAAAAGCCAATCATGTGCACACTCCGGGGGATCATTAAGGCCAATTAAAGCCTCCCTCAGAATCACGGGGGATCATTCAGGCCCGCCACGGCCTCCCTCATGATGATCTAACTATTTCTCATACATACCTCGGA